ATTTTGCCAATGACATTCAATGTCTGCTCGGGTGAAAATGGATTATGAACGTAATATATATGCTATATGCTATATGGGGGAGCTCTTGCTCTTTGATGTGTGTATTTGAGGATATATTAATGTTATATTGGAAAACATATCGACAAGGGGAAGTTGCAAGGGAATAAAGAGTGGCAGACCTATTTTTGGGGGATTTATTTGCCTTGGGGTTTACTGCTAATGATGTGTGGTAATTACATATTATTAAATAAAAATCTATTCAATTTTACAAACAATTTAAAACACATGAATAATGCATATTAAGTGTTAAAAGGATATATAATTAATACGAGAAAATAAGCTATTTGTATTACTAATCCTTCATTTTGCTTAACTTTTAGAAATTTAAAATCCTTATACAATTTAAAGAAAATTACTTCATTTATGTTGATTTTATTTTTATTACTCTTCGCTTGAACTGTTAGCTGCTTTCTATTCATGGTCGAGCAATTACTGGCTGCAATTTGATTGAATTTAAATTCTTGAGCTCGTCCTGAGAGCGCTCCTTATCACAAAGTCAGTCCTCTGACAACCCGTAATCCCCCACCACTTCCATCCTCTGGGGCAAAGTCATAAATTATCCTTAGATCACGCGCCAACAAAAGTGTTTCCAGGACGCCTCCACCTCGTTGGGCCCTGTAGGTTTCTCCCTTTCATTTTCTTGTTTTTGATGGTCCTTACGCAGTGACCTATACAATGCATTCCATCAGAGGGGAACTACTAGTAGTAATAGTTCTTCTGGCTGAACCACTTTCTCTTTTCTTTTTTTTATTCCATTTTTTAACTAGCTTGAATTCCTGGCAGTCACATGCCAGCGGAGGCGCAACGCCAAGATGATGGAAACAGCTGACATTTCACTTTCTTGATGCGATTACGCAGCGAGGAATGGTTCAGCCTCCCACACTGGCTTTTTCCACTGCGCCTCCTTCCCGCTTTCCCCGCTTTTCCCCCCGCCTTTCTGTCCACATTGCAAATTGCTTACGGTCACGTAGCAGCGCTCTAGCCTCTCGCTCGCCCTCGCACAACCCCACACACAGCGATGGGGTCGGCTCCTTTTTGCTGCTGTTGCGCGACAAGAATTTTTTGCGCTTCAAGCGGCGGCCAAGAAACTTAACACTGCACAAAAAAATACTTAACTTACTTAAAGACAAAAAATATTATTTAAATTATAAAGGCAAAATAATAAACAATTTATAGATAAAACATATGTTACCCAAGATACAAAGCCAAATGCCTTAAACTACCTTTAAGTTCTATTGGTAAATATAAAAGCCGTTGCGCCATCCGTAAGGAGGTCTAATATCCTTCCAATTTGGTCCTTCGAGCCCGATTGCGCAACTGCTTCTTAGCTTAGTAAGGAGCAAACTTTATTTTACAAATTTTTGCATATTATATTTATATTATTCAGCTTTTAGTTTAATCTATAACCTATCCGGTGTCCTGAGTAAATAGTCTTAATAATATCTTATAAATATCGTCATGAACTAAGCGTTGATAATCCTTGTAAAAAGCTATCATATATAACTTTTTATACTTTACCAGAATTTAATAATAATAATAATTATATTGAGTTTTGAAAGTCAGGTCCCAAAAATAAGTAAATAATAAGATAAGATCATTTAATTTAGGCATCCAGAAAAATCTATCCAATACATATCTTTGATTATAACAAAATATATTATAAATTATTCATTTCTTGTATCCTATAGATATCTCCTTCAAAACATATTTTTATAAGATTTAATTAATTAAATGTAAAATAATATTTAAATTTAGTCACTTTCTCCTAGTGTAAAAGCCGGAAAAAATGGAAGAGGAAGAGCGGTCGGGGAGTGAGAGAAAGTAAGGTTGGGGAATGGGGTAACAAAAGGAAAATGGTGCCAAACTTAATGAAAATACCAACGCGTCGTCATTTTGGCCGCAGAGAGGCTGTAGTATCTTTCCCCGGAAAACCATCCTACCCTCTCTCTCTCTTCCCTAAGCCATCCATCTTGCATGCCATTTCCCCAATATGTTATTTTTCATGCGTTTTAGGCGAAAGTGTTTCAGCCCACTGTGCGCAAGAAGCTATCTTGTTTTTTTTTCTTTCTAGTGACACCCACCTCTTATTTATTGGCATTTTTTTGATTTCTTGCTCCATTTTGTTAGTACAGTAGTAATAGGAAAATTGCCTAAAAAGTAACTAAATAAATTCTAAGAAAATTTAATTTTAGTATATCATATTTATATGGTTTATATAGATATTTAAGATAGATATTTTACTCGCTTTTCTTTAGCTTTTAAGCTTTATGTCTGGCTTCCTATTTGGGGCTAGTATAATGGAGTTTCATTCTGTTTTTATTAACTAAAGACGTTATTAGAAAAGATAATATATAAATTTTAAACACCTGAGTAATATAGTTTTTTTAAAAAAGATAATATATTAATTTTAAACACCTGAGTAATATAGTTTTTTTATTTTAAAATTTTTATTAATATTTAAAGTACTATTGACTGCTAAGTTAACATTTTTGTAGATTTTTCAATTCGTTTTGTTTATTTTTCCCTGTATTGGCATTTTTTGATTTCTTGCTCCACTTTCCTTGTATTTTGTTTTTTTTGCACTGCCGCTTCTTTTGGGAAATTTGCATATCTCGATAGTGTCATTAAATTTGCATATTTAAGATAAATTTAAATTCTTTGCATGTTTTGTTGTATTTCCTTTTTTTCTGCGTTCCAATTTCATTTCGAGTATTGTCCTTTTTCCTTTACTTTCGTCCTGTCCTGGCTCGTTCTTCAAATTTTGCCGTTGCGATTGCAAATTTATTGTAGGCTCAAGGGGGCGGGGATGGTGGAGTAGCATAACATTGTTTACAGACTGTCTTCATATATGTACAATACAGTGGAGCTTACAGCAGGTGATAGAAATATAGTTATAATTTTCAGATTTTTCAACCAAAAACAATTTCTATTAATTTCCAGATTAAAAAGGTTTTAAATAATATTATAATTTTACTTTAAATAAACAAAGATTTCCGATTCAATTACATTATATTATCAGGGGGGATAATTTTATAAAGCAAAAAGAAAAATATATTGTTATAAACTTTACAATTAAAATTATTAAAAATTTTACAAAACGTAATTTATTTTTGAGAACTTTCCTAGACAATTATAAATTTCACCTATTGTTTAATAGATATTTATATAAATATATTTGTAAATAAAAACGAAAAACTGTACATATATATAATTATGATTATATATTTATAATTATAAATATATTGATTTATATTTATTTATCTATATCTATTTATTTAAAGTTACTGCTACTTTTCTCTCCTCGACTATTTGTCCTCAAGAGTGGTAACTTTAAGTGGGCGAGGTGGGCGTGGCAGTGCTTTACAATGCGTGGGAGTCGCTCTCATCTCTGTTTCTTTTCTTTTTTTTCATTTTGCACACCCCTCACTCGTCCTTCTTCGTTGTCGTCATCATGCATCATTTGTTTAGTCCCTTAGTCCTTTGTTATGTGCCAAAAGCCAAGGGGGAGGAGGAGGCGGTACAGTGGGGCGGAGAGTGGGAGGGGAAAGGACGTGTGTGGGCGGTCGGATATGTGGTGGGTGTCACACTTTTATGCGACGCACTTGTTGAGAATATTAATTTTATTTAAATATTTCAAAATAACACAAGAGTTTTTGCTGGCTTGGGTTCCTTGTCTTTTTTCGTATTTTATTTTATTTATTTTATTTTGCGACATTTACGTAATGAACTCTGGCTAATGGGATTAAATCCCATCCCATTCCACAGAAAAACATTGACAGATGTATCATGTGCGATGAAGAAGGAAAAGTTTTCGTGTTGCAGTAAAAAGAGAAACTAAATAAACAGCTTGATTAAAAGATACAAAAACTTTATCCGCTATTTTTCTCTATTTTTAAATAAATATTGAAACATAATAAATAAATGAAATAAAGCACTCTACCGTCTTTACCATCGTTTTGTCTCAGTTTTTGGATTAATTGTTAATAACAAATTTTAATATATAAAAATATTTACCAATAATTAATTTAACTTAATAATTAGTAGGCCAAATAGTTTTTATATAATTTTAAAATGTTTATATAAAAGCTCTTTAAAAAGTTCTGTAAAACAAACCAAAAATCTAAACTTATGAAATTTTTTTAAAAAATCTAAAATTAAACATTAAAAAATGGGAAAGAATTATATTTAAAATTTAAAACATTCAAATTTTATTTTAATTTACAGACTTACAAATTTAGGACGTGATTATGTAGTAAAATTAATCGCTAAAATCCCATGTTTGCAGTAATAGTTGCTACTTTAGAATACTGTATAAAAATAAAGTTATTCGTATCTTTTTGTTGTTGCCTGCAAACTGGGAGAGGCCGCAGTTTTGCTTTTGCTATTTCCATTTAGTTAATTATTTAAATTTCTATTTGCGATTCGCACAACAGCAACAAGAATAGACTTCGGGAGAGCAGCGGGAGAGAGAGAGAGATTGCGAGAGCGGCAAAACAGAAAGAGCGAGCTCACATTGTTCTGAGCAGATCAACAAAAACTAAAAGCTAAAAAAAGTCAAATTCCGGAACAGAAGCTTAAAAGATTTACTTAATTATATAAAAAAAAGAAGCAAAAAATGGACAAATTCTTAAATTAAAATTAATTGTTCGCAATAGACTGCGTAAAGGAAATATGTAATAATTTGGCTCTTGTTATATACATGTTTCAGATTAATAATGCGGAATATATTCATTATTTATTCAATCATTTGTAATATTCAGCCGTTCAAATAATTAATCGACTCTCAAAATGAAGTATAAGGTAAAAATAAAGAAAAACCGCTAAAATAATCTAGAATTCCCGCTGCCCGCTATATTCAAGTTCACCCCGCAACCACTCTGCTCAAAAAAAGCCAAATCTGACGGGAAAAAGCGGAACCGTCATCACTAATCGTAGTTTTGCCGGCAGATAAAGAGAGTGAACGAGAGAGCTCTGCGCTTTCTTCGTTTTTTCGGCTGCGCGAACTTATATTTTGTCGTTGTAATATTTTGCATAAATATATAAATTAACGCGCGTGACGAACAAACAAAAGTAAAGGCAAAAGCTAACAAATCAAACGAAATCCACATAACTTTCAAGTGCAAAGTTTTCGGGCGTGCGTGTGAGTGTGTTTTCTGTGTTTTCGCGTATTTTTGTGTGTGTAAAACGGAACGTGCAACAAGAAGCAAGAAGAAGAGGAAGTAGCAACAGCAGCTGACAAGCCAACAACAAGCAAGATTTCCAATAAGTAAGCAACAAAAGGGAGAAAAGAGGAGGAGAAATGAAACAAAAACAACCTTTGGAAGCCCCGCAAAACGCTGTCGTAACCGATTGCAAAAACAAAAACCAAAATAGGAACAACTACAATTCGCAGGTCTCAGCTAATTGAAAGCGAACGTGTTGTTGCTTTTAGTGCATTGCACTCGATGCAAAACAAGAAGGACAGAAAAGAAATAGCATAAAAATACATAATAAGAACGGCAATAAAAACAGTAAAGAAATTGCTGCTGCGCTCCCGCTTGCTCTCTAGCCAAATCAAGTGAGGGAGAGTGTGTGGAATAAAGTGCGATTAACAACAAGTGAATAACCTGCAGTGAGAATTACGTTTTTTATGTGTTTAGTGTAATTATTTAAACCTTATCGTAGTGCAAATAATTCGTTTTCGTTTTCCGTTTTTGCTTTGCTCACTTGTTGTCTTCGCTTTTAATTTTGCCGGCGCGCGCTCTCTCTCCCTCTCTCTTTTCGCCTCTCTCTCTTTCTTATCTCTCTGCGACAGCTGTCAAAAGCAATGGGCTCTCTCGCTCTCTCGGTGTTTCGCATTGTGAATAAGCAATAACAATAACGGCAAAAACAACAAGTGCAATTGATAAAAAGCCATAACGTATTACAATTCGCAATTGAATAATTCCCCCCCTGCATATCAATAAATGATTGCATCAGTGTTAGTATGTCTGGTCCCGTAAAAATAAATAAAAGTATAAGAAAATTGGCTGGCTGTGTGCTATTTTTAATGCCCATGCAAATGTTGCAACCGTCCGTGTGAGGCAGACAGAGATAGCGATAGTGCTAAAATAACTGAAATGAAATGAAATGCTCCGTTGCAAAAACAAAATGCAACCAAAACAAAAGTAGTGCCGAAAATAATCAACAAACTTGCAAGTGAAATATTAATTACAAATTAGAAAAACGGCAAGCGATCTCTGGAATGCGAGAGCAGTAAAAGATTGAAATTGCTGTGGAGACAGCGGAGAGAGGGGGGGGGGGGGGGACGGCGAATGAGAACAGTGTTGCTGAGCTACAGTCATACTGCAAGTGTAGTGTAGTAGAGTGCAAAGTGGAGTAAAAGGAGTAAAAGAGTTTTATAGGTGCAAACAAAAGGTAGTGTTTAAATATGTAGTGTAGCATGTAATTAAAAAAAGTGTAAATTATGTTGCCAAGACAAGCATAAATAAAAGTTTTTATTATAAAAGTGTAACACCAAAGTTTAAGGAAATTATCTTAAAATAAAAATATTCTGAAATAGTAAACAGCTTGTTATTATATACTGAAATGAAATAACGTAAAAATGAACATCTGGATATTTAATTTTCCTTTTTAAACTCCAGATTTGTAGATGTGAAAATATAATACATTTTGAAAACTACCTTTTGGCTGTTGCCAAAAGGTTTTCATATCTTTAAATATATTTTTTAAGATAGAAAACAATTAAAATATATATAATATATCTAATTTCACTGATTTTGCAATCTGGGTTAATGGTTTAAAATCAAGAAATATCTCATGAGCAACCATTTTTAAGATACTTTTGGTTTTAACTTGATATTTTTTAAATTATTATATACTTTTTGTAAAAAACTGTATTAAATGCTGTATCTAATACAACTTAGTTACACTACAATAGGATAACTCTAGCGCTAGCTAAGCAATAAACTTAATAACTATTGACCAAACAAAAACAGCAATTGTGAAAAAGTGTTGACAATAGAACACCTGCCGCTGGCACACAATCCTCCTGTATTTATTGTAACTACTGCAAAATGCAATTATAATTGTTGTGCCTTTTTTCATGACTCACTCCATTTCTAATCTGCATATTCTCTCTGCCTTATCGCCTTTTAATTTTCAGCAGTCACGAGTAAATTCGAGGGAGTGTTAATTGCTAAAAAAAAAAACACCATACAGTAGAGACCGTTTGGCGGAAAGTGTGTTCCCAATGCATCCGAGATACAGCCCCGCACCGCCCCCTCAACAGCAGCAACAGATGGGTGGCGGACCACATCCCCAGCAGGGCGGTGGCGGTGGAGGAGGCGGTATGAGGGGGCCGGCGAACGCCCAGCAATTGCCGCCACAAATTCCGCGATCCCAGAACTATTCAAACGTGAGTCAAACATTCATAAATCTCATCTATATTTAAGGTGGCAATTTTAGATTATTATTTATTGGTCTGCGATGATTTTTTAGAGTGATGTGAGTCGAAATGTTTGCCAATTTGGGAGCTAGGGGAATATTTGTGAATATAAATTTACATTAAACTTAATTATGATATTTATTTGGGAAGGATTTTTATAACCTTGCAGGGTATCTTAATTTTAATCGGAAGCTTATAACTTTATGAAGGAGTCTTTTTCGACCATATAAATCATATATATTCTTGATCAGCATCAATAGGGGAATCTTTCTATGCATGTGGAAAATAACAAATTTTTTTAAAATTTTTTTTCAAAATTTTATAAGGGGTTAAAATTTTTAAAATTGATAAAAATTTAAAATTTTAAAAATGTTAAGCGAAGTATCCTGATTTATTAACAAAAAAAAAAAAATTAGTTCTATAAATAAATATTTAAAGACTGTGAATATTTTAGATATCTTTGACAGATTCCCCATACGATCCTATAATTCAATTAAAAAGGTTAATAAGCTTCGGCTTCTTTCTTGATGGGAGCTCTTAGTTAGTTATTTAGTTGGAATTAAATATATTTAAACGGAAATGAATTTAAATTAAGTTAAAATTACTCTTATAAAAAATTATACCATACTATTTAGTCTACATCCTTTTTATACTATGCTGTTTATAGTTTTTATTATGTACTATACCCTAGATAGGTACTCAATGGCTCTTACTGCCCACGCTGTTTTTTTTTTTTTTTACTGTTATGTTTTGAATGAATTGGGTATCATTGAGGCGGAAATAGCCAGAAGACGAAGCGATCTAGAGTTTTCAACAACAAATTAGTGCTTTTCGACATATGTAGATGAAGATTGTTTGCTCTAATTCGTAATTGCCAAGGTGTTGATTATAGTTTTTTTCTCTGGTCTAGCTGCACTTCTTCCGGTTATATACTGCATCCATATTTGTACTTTATTAGATCGAAACCTATTTGTTATTGATCCAAAGAGTATAAGTACTATCCCCATGGAATATTAATGCCTAATGGGCTTTGCTCTCTATCAAAAATCCAGCGTAGTTGATAAAATAGCCTGGTACAAAAACGATTGGCCAAACATCTAAGCAATCAAGTACCAACAAAGGCATCAATCAATCAGTTGCTGCGTGCATCAATCAAGCAATCAAACGGCTCACTCACTCGCACACTCCACTCTCCTCTCTATGCCTCTCCTCGCCTCAGTCAGTCAGTCAGTCAGTCAGTCAGTCAATCAGTCAATCGTTCATTCAAATCGGACGCAGGCTGATGATTTTTGATGCGGATTCTGATGCTGATGCTTTCCACATAGAAGGCGCCAGCTTTGCCTCGCGGCCAAAATAGGGGGCGCCACTGCAATCGACATGTGTCATACGCAGTCGTTCGTATCATGGGGGAAAAAGCGGGAAATGCGGCAGGAAAATCGGGCAAAAATCGGGGGGAAAATCATGGCTAAAAGAGGGAACCAAACATAGGAAAGCGGTGGTAGCAAGGGAGCAAGCATTTGAGTGGAAAATTGCTCCCGCTGATGCGGCTGCCACTGCCTGGCAATGATATGGATTTCTTCTAACCATTTTCGCCATCAATTTGCTGACAGTTGCAGTGCAGCAGCCGTCGTCTGCCTAATCCCTAATGCTAGAATCGGGGCACTATACCGCCACTGCCACCATTACCATTACCACATTATCCTCAATCCCACCTGACAAATCATTATTCACAGGGCACCACCGAAGAAAGGAACATTTTAGCAGATTTAGATTTTCTCTATTTGTTGTTCTTGTTGTCGTTGTTGTTGCTAATTTCAATGGTATTAAAACCCCAGTTTTGCCAGTTGGTGTGGGACTTGGCATTGTGAAATATTTCCATCATAATTTATGCATTTGCTTTCTAAATACACCAACACTATACACTCGCAAAAAAAAAGAAAATATAAGAAAGAAAATAGAGATGAAAACCACAAAATGGAAATCACACAAAGGCAACATTTGTACGTAGTTTTCCCCTCTCATCCTTTGCCATCTCACAAAAATCTGGTTTACCTGCGTGTATTATGTGTGCACTGAAATGAATACTTAAAAATATATAATTATATTAAGAAATAAATTATTTTAAATATGTGTTAGGCCATTTCTTAGGAATTTATTGAAAAGTTTACTATGATATATCTGATATTATTAAGGTTTCTTGGTCTTATATAGTATTATTTCATAATGTTTGCCATTGGAAAGGTCCTTAAAAAGGTGTCAAAAAGTATGAAATGCAATTTTTCAACTAAAGAAAATTCTAAAAATAAATTCTTAATTAGATTTGTTTTTTGTTAGGATTTGACATCTTGTAGCTTTATTTTTTTTGGGTTTTTTAAATCCTTTATCTAAGTCTTTTATACTTTTATGCTATAATTACCTATAAAAAATCATGCAATTTTTTCCCCTTATAATCTTCTAAAAAATATTAATAAAGGTATGATTATATAATCATCAAATTTATATAATATTTTTTTGTTGTGTTGCAAAATGCTGTACATAAAATATATGTATTCCATATAATAAACTATTCAAAGCTGTTGCGGCACAATACCTGAGCGGGGCCAGGACGAACCCCAGGCCCAATGTTGCTCGTTTTGCTGCGTTTTTGGGTAGCCCACCTGGCCAGGTACACCCACTCCCCTCTCCTCCCATCCCCCCATGGCTCCAAACACTCACTGCAACCCCTCCAGGTGTGCTCGCTTTGTAGGCAGCATCTATTTGGCATCCTCTAATGGCCAACAGGCGTTGCTTTGGCTTTCCACGGTAACGTTCTTTCATTTAAACAGCTTTCAACTCACAACAACAATATTCTGGCAGACCACATCAAAATAAAAATACCAAGAGAGTGGTTGGGGGGGGGGAGAAAAATGTGAGGAAAGTGAGGAAAATACGGGAAAAATTGTAAACAGTCGAGGCGCTTAGTCAGCGCCGCAGTCCAAGGCAGTTATATTGTGCCCGGAATGAAAATTATATTTCGCATTTTGTGTGTCCGCCAAAAGAAAGGAAAGTAAATAAATAAAAGCGGAACAGGGCAAGTTGCTGAAGTTTATGGAGTTAAGGGAAGAATATATACATATATTTAAAATTACTTCAGACCATTCTTTGTATGAGAGGTTTTTATTTATTATTATTATTTTTTAATGGACGAAATTTTGAGTTTGGAAAACTTCAAGACTTTTGTATATATTCATTTTTTCAAAAGTTTTAAGTGGTTTATGTTTTTTAAGATTTCAAATTGTGCTCTTTTCTTTTAAAATGTATAAATAAATTGCATTCTTTTCGTATTCAATAATTTCTTTTACAATATTTTTATTCTCAACCCAAAAACTCAAAGTTTACAAAGTTTACTGTAATGAATTTTCGAGTTCTTGAAGATTGGGTAAAATTTATTTGCTTTTGTATCAAGCTTAGCCTTTCTTTCCTGTTAATAAGAAAACTATTTACTTAATTTTCTTTCACTACTTCCATCAAATCGTATTGATATACCAAATACTTTTCTCAGTTTTCTTAGTTGTATTACTTCTTTTCCTCTTTAGTAATTAGGAAATTAAATACTTCAGGAAATATGCAAAAAGGAAATATCATTTACACTCCTTTGATTTGCTTTTCCTACCCCTCTCCTTTGCTTTGGCATTTACCTGAATAATTTGTTTTCCACCTGTACCTTGCCATCTCCTTTCCGGTTTTTTGAGTTGAATTTTCCTTTTGGCAAATTCTATTTGAGTTTGCAAAACCAAAAATGTTTTGTAAAACTTGAAAAACTTTACAGTATTTGAGTTTTGTGCGCTAAAAAGTTTGCTCAACAAAATATTTATATTTCAATGTTCATGATGATGATGATGATGAACAGGATAATGAAGAATGAGAACTTTTGCCTGGTCACGTAGTAATTTGTGATTAAATTCAATGTTGACAATTGGCAAGAGAGAAAGCCAGAAAAGTTGTTAAGGTAATTGCGACCGCGTAGGCTGAGATGCATTTCAATTGAAAGCCTGCTGACCAGACGCATGTCGAGGGGGCGAATGAGGGATTCTCTAGGATTCTCCGGGACTCTCTAGGATATGCTCTAGGACTCTCTTCAATGCAGCGCTGAATGCCGGACGAAACGCCTTTATGTCCTGCGCCTGCGTCGGCTTGTGGATCCTGTTGCTGGGAATTATTTTTGCCGGCTCGCAGCAATGCAATGCACGAAGTAGGGAACGATTCGCAAGAACCGAGGCGAACCGAAACCGAATCCGAGGGCAAATCTGAGGCCTTACTCCAAAACCTTACTCAATGAGAAATTCAGAATCCATTCGACGATTGTCAAGTTCAGTTACAAACGCCTTTTCCTCATTTTGCGCACCACAAAAGCGGAAAGCGACCACAGAGCCCCAAAGCACCCAGAGATTGCCAGAGACGAGCGCCTGAAGTCTGAAGCCAAAATCGTATCGAATCCGAAATCCACTTTAAATTCCAATTCAAAATCCAAGAAAATAATAGCCAAGCCAAGCGGGGAGTCCCAAGAGGAGTCCTGCGAATATCCTTTCAACAGTGCAAGCTCGCCATTTTGTGTTTTATCGCCGCAAGATTCACCATTAATATATACATATATCCATTCCCCCGTGCGTATACGTAATCTGAGTCGAAAGTCAGTTCATTCTGTCCATGATTTACAAATATTAAAATAAAACAAAAAATCTATATATTATACAAGTAGTCACTGAGAGAATTCGCCGAGTGCAAGTGCAAGTGAAGTTCAGTATTATTTACAACGCGCGAAAAGGAAAATATTAAGAAATTTACAAAGTTATTCTGCTCAAGAACTCGCTACTCAAAGTAGTCCAAGGATTCCCAGTCTCTCAGCGCAACAATTGTCAGCGAAAAATTCCTACTAAGAACTCTTAATAAAAACCCAAAAGAAATCAACTAAAAAGAGTTACAAACTCTCA